TTTCTTGACTTTTTCTACGATAAAATTGAATAACTAAAAGCAATATGTACTTTTTTACCGCTCATCCCACCATTTTGTTTTTATTTGAATTTTGACTAAAAATCTCAAAAAAACAAAAAAACTTTGAGTTTGAATTTTGACCGGGTAAAGTCTAAATTTGAATTTTGTCCAAGAAATTTCTGGTCAAACTTTAAATTTGAATTTTGTCCGGATAGATTTAAAATTTGACCGAATTTAAAGTTTGTCCGAAACATATATACACAATACAAATATTATACGTTTGTGTTCACTGTGGAAAAGAGAAGATATATTTTTTTTCTTCTCTCTTATGTCTATCTTCCCATATGATAAAACACGTTCTTTTTTGGCATCAACATAAGAACATTTAGTCGATTTTTATACTTTATGATTTCAGTGAGAAGGTGTTCCCAAGCACATACTTATAATCCCGTAGTATACACAAAATTTTAAGCTCTATCCGAATTTGGATGTTTTACGTTTCGGAAACACGCACAATTCGACATGTACGAGTTTTTAGAAAAATTCAATTAAGACAAAAACGCGTTCTTCGACTTGACACAAAATTCTCAGCTATAATTTTAGCATCACTAGATAGAGCACATAACTCGAGCGAAATTATGCAGAAATATTTTTGGGCTTTCCGTCCAGTTCTCTTTGAAGCTTTTACTTTATCTTAGAATAGCTTCTGAGAAAATTTCTGAAATTGGCCAAGTTACAACGCATGTTTCAACTTTAATTCATGATTGCACCAAAAAGCAGATCTGGGCAATTAAATTCAAAAAATGGCCAATTCAATTCAATTCAATTCAGAATTGAATTGAAAGAAATTTTCAAGGTCGTTGAATTGAATTGAAATCTCAGTTCAATTCAACTCAAAGAATTATTGTTGAACTGTATATTATTACTGTGTCTTGTTATGAAGTGAACTAGAATAAAACCTTATTCCAGATGATTTAAATGTATAAAGAAAAAGAGGGAAATGTCAGGTTCTTTTCTTTTATGAGCTTTTTCATTTTACTCCTTCTTTTCGTCGCGTAACAGGAGTTTTCTTTTGTTGGACAGCAAAATAAGAAAAAGTAAAGAAAAGGCAAATGAGAAAAAGACGAGAAACAAAGAAAAACAACAACAACAACGCAAAGGGCGATGAGAGCTAATAATCACAGTCGACCACTACCACACACTATACTTACACTGAACTGGCGAGGGAGAGAGAAATACATCCCACCGAGATAATTATTCCCGGCTTTCTCTTCGGGAACATGATACAATTCATTTGAGGTTTGAGCTCAAAATAAGTAAGTGCACAGTAATTTTATTCACATCTTTTAACTCTCTCTTTCAATTGCTGTGTACTTACTCTAAAGTTATCATTTAACTTATTAAATTTTTCATACCACTTTTATATATACACGTGTCTTTACTATGCTTCATGCAAATAAGACGGATATATATACGATTCTTTTCTTTTTTTCCTCGTTTTATATACTATATATAGAGTCACATGCCCCAGTTTTGACACTCATACAAATACATGGAGTTTTTGCAAACATGTCGTTACATATAATAATAAACAATAATGTATAAGTTTATTTTTCGCTGAAGAAGGCCATCAAAACATGTGCTCTTTTCAGAAAAAAATAGTCACATGGGGAAATTCTGATAATCGCCTAAATCTTTTCAAATATGTTTTGCATATTTAGGTTATCTTTCACCGGAGGAAATCAGTATTATGCAGGTAGATAGAGCTGACTCTTAGCTATCTACTGATGTAAAAAGTTTTCTAAAATTCGTTAGTATTAATTAGTTCTAATCAATTTTCAATCAATATGTTTAGAATTATCATGATAACACAGCTGTGGGGGAATTCTGATAATCTTGTGTAAATCACACGGATAGATAGAAAAAAATCTTCGCTATCTCTCAGAAGTAGGGTTGCTAACTCAAAAGCTAAAAAATCAGAAAAATTCTGATAAATCAGAAGAGTTGGCAACCCTGTTCAGAAGCCAACCCTAGTCCAACATCTGCACGGTTTTGGTGCACATACTTCAAGTGTTGTGTCAGAAAATCAGAAAGAAAATTGCCTAAGGCAGTTGAGCTAAGCTGGAAGAAGCGCAACGGGATAGACTACAAAAAAGTAATTTGGGACTTTTCGAAAACTATTTTCAACATAAAATATTCCAAAATAATAAAATTTTCATCTTCGTGATAAAACGCAGCAGCCAAGCCAAATTTCATTGTTGTCACCTGACTCGGTTTGACAAGTTGGTCAACCAATTCGTCTGGTTAGCAAATGGAACAAATAATGGTGTCTTACTGTCGTTTTGTGACGTTCGCTCGTAGATAACCTAGTGTAACCATATCTTAGTTCAAACGCTTTTCAGAGTCCTCTTGATGACTTTCCGCAAAACCTCAGGTATCGCAACATTTGTTTCTCCCAGTCTTTTCAAACCTATAGGTACCTAGAAACCCAACCGTTTTCTGGAAATCGTCTAGCTGCTGATTGTTCTATGATTTCAAACTTACAAAGTACTTATATTATGCCAAATGTTATCCGACTACTATCAGAACTCTACAATGTGGATCAATCTGTTGCTACACAGAAGCCATTGTCTTTATTAAGTTATATGAAAAAAGCTTACAGTGGCTGCTAACTATATTAAATATCTACGAAGTAACTTTTTTAAGCTGCAGGACTTGAAGAAGCTAGTGGAACTGGTAAATGAGCAGCCGATGTCATCGTTTTTGGTTCAACTTGAGTGGCCGTCGTTAAACTCCCATTAGTCGCAGGTGGTGATGGTGTTGAAATATCGTCGATATGTACGACATTTGCATCATGTACAAACTTGTTTGATTTGATTTTTTTTAACTCTTCAGGTGAAAATTGATTTCCTTTCAAACGTAATGTTTTTAATTTTGTCATATTAACAAGTTGATTAGGTATACTTGTTAAATTATTATTTGATAAATCTAACTCAATTAATGTCGAGTTTAATGATATAATTTCCAGAGGAATTTCAACAATTGAATTGTTTGATAAATCTAATTTTGTTAGAGATTTTAATTTGCCAATGTCTACCGCAGAAAAATAATAAGAAACTTTGAGAACAAAAACACAGTGTTTTTTCTACGTATAAGGGACTTTTGTTCATTGGTCCTTTTGGGCTTTAGAATCCACTAGTTTTTGCCCATTTCGGCAGTTTTCTACTCAGGAAAGTATAACCAAGCAAAAGAGTCAGTTTTGAACTCCGGCGCGTACCTGTTAGATTTTGTATTTCATTATTGGACAAGTGTAATGTTTCTAAATGTGTTAAATTTGCTAGTGACGCAAATGGAACATCTCTGAGTTGATTTTGTTGAATCGATAATATTTTCAATGCTCTCAACTGGAAAATTTCTGCTGGCATTTGTTTCAATCGACATCTGTCCAATGAGAGCGATGTTAGATTTTTAAATGCTTCAACTCCTTTCAGCGTCCCTAGCTCCGGATTCGCCGACAAATCCAGTGTATTTAAATTCGTTTCAGTCAGTCGCCGAACATTATGTGGTAAATGTTTTAAATGATTTTGCTCAAGAATCAAGAATTCAAGGGCAGGATACATCTGATAGATGAATGTTGGCAATACAACCAGATTTGAATAACTAATGTCTAAATAGATTAATTTTTTTAAATTTCTCACCGTATAGGGCAGATAACGAATGGATGTATGTAGCAGAACGAGATATTCGAGGGATTGAAGTTGATCAATTTCAGATGGTAGGGTGGACAGACCGTGATTATGAATGATTAAGAGCTTTTTCACAGATGATTTTAGATTTTGAATGTCAGATGGGATAGACCAGTTAACATGAGACAGTGCCAATGTATGCAAATGTTTTAAACAAAATATATTCAGCGATTGTTCGCGATCTTCATGAAATAAAGTTAAATTTTGAATTTCTTGTGTTTTAACATTGTATTCAGCCCACGTTCGATAAATAATAGTTTCATTTGATTGATCCGTATGATTCGAATCAGGATCTTTCAATGCAATATCAATGTAAAAGGGTAAGGAATCAATCACATCCATATCTGTTTTATATTTTGAACAATCGAGGTTCGATGGTTTTGAATTGGTATTCAATAAGCCTAAAACACAGTTTGAAGCGAGTGATTTCTTTGATCTAGGCTGTGTTTAAGGGGGGAGGCTCTTACTGTATGGAAACAAGGGAGATACCATGACACTCGGTGATGAATATTTCAGTCTAACGAGCTAAAAACAAGCTTTCTGGCTAAAATTTACTATTGTATCTGTTTAGATGCTTGAGACAAAAAAGGTTTCTGGAGGATTTTCTAAAAGCATTCAGGAGATCTCTTGACCGGTTCAGATCGCTATTGACGAACACTACGTTTACACGGGCAAATTATTCATGCATCCAAGCCATGCGTACATAAATTTAATCATACATAAGACAGTTTCACGCACTCTATACATGCATAGCGAGTTAATCATGATAGCCTTCCGTTCACACGACTAAGTTCAGCGTGCATAATTTGCCCGTATAAACATCAGGTAAGTTTACGAAAATCAAAGTGTATTGTCCAGAAAAAAGGTTGAGCAAACAATGAAACCTGACTTGGTTGCTGCGTTTTATAATAAAGATGAGAATTGTATTACTTTGAAATATTCTATGTTGAAAATAGTTTTGGTAAAGTTCCAAACTACTTTTTTGTAGTGGATCCCGTTACGCTTCATCCAGCTATGCACAGATAACAATTTGATCGAAGTTTGAATTGCCCTCGCCTTAGTCTCTTTTTCCATCAGCTTATGCCACAATGTGTTTTCTACACACTTATAAGATGGCATATCAAAAGTTATGTGAGGAAAATAATCCGACAGTTCCAGAATTGCTTGTGCGGCTTCCCCAGCTAACGACCTCCATTTTTTGCTCTTTTTCATAAAGTTATTGGTATAAAGCTACAAACTAATCTAACATGGCAACCAGATAATTAAGTAGATTAAACATTTCTCTACAAAACAGCGTGTCTGAAAGAGTGAAGACGAGCTGACAAAAACTGAAGAAGTATACCATTTTGTAGAAGATTGTTTGCTCTGCAAGATGTGATAGCTTGTCAAATTCGAAACTATTCTAATTAATCTGTATTAATCAAAGAAAACTCAGAAAAACTGATGCCGGGACAAAAAGCGGTCAAAAGTGTCACAGCGTCACGGTTTTTCTGATTTTTCTTTGATTAATACAGATTAATTAGAATAGTTTCGAATTTGACAAGCTATCACACCTTGCAGAGCAAACAATCTTCTACAAAGTGGTATACTTCTTCAGTTTTTGTCAGCTCGTCTTCACTCTTTCAGACACGCTTTTTAGATAGCTCCAAAATCATTCTTTTAGACTGTTTGTACAACAACTGTATTTTCATAACGGATCAACGTTCAGAGCCGAGACACTTTTCATTTTGTAGAGAAATGTTTAATCTACTTAATTATCTGGTTGCCATGTTAGATTAGTTTGGTAACGATAAGTATGTAATTAATCTGTTTCCAAAGGTTATAGTCTTTAAGACTGACCTGAATGATCGTTCATTTGCTTGTCCAATGTAGAAGTCCCATTTACGAGTAATAATTGAATGCAACAACCAAAAATGTATATGAATACAATCGAATTCATTTTTCGAGAAGCAAAATCGTCCAAATCTATTTTTTCCTAATAATTCCAGTATCTGTTCTAGTTTTGTAAGGGAATACCGTGGCCTATTTATATGTTGTAAAAAGTAGAAGGCGAATAACAATCAATGTGGGATATTGCCCATTCTGCCCCGCTATTATTTGCGGGATATTTTCCATTCTGCCCCGCTATTATTTGTGGGATATTTCTCATTCTGTCTCTCGCGATAATCTATTTTTCCTTTCAACTGACGAATTTGTGTGCGGTATTCTGTATCGAATAACTGAGAAAAAGTAATTATTCGATTAACGATTGTTTATATGTGTATTTCTTTACTATGTAAGATTTTTTGTTTTCTTTGAGAAAGAACAAATCTCTTGGCTACAGGGAAACTTCCTATCACTATCAATTAGACCTTGGGATTTTCTGCTTGTCAGTCTTTATTTTCATAAATGATAAAAAACCAACAACTTTTTTCATTGCCACGATTTATACTTTATGCTTTCACATTAACTTCAGGAAATAAGTGGAGGAAGCTATGAACTTTCCTCGCGGTACTTTGTATTTGATTGCCATTTTTCAACTAATCACAGGTATACCACTTTCGAACAGCATCCCTGAAAAATCTAAAAAGATGTAGTTTTCTTTTAGGTTCAAATGAGTTATTTGCAGGCGGTGGAGGTAAACACGCAAAAGCTGGTGCAGAAATCAATCGCGTCATTCTCTGGCTTTTTCAGGCACTGGTGGCGGAGGTGCATCAATGGGAGGAGGAGGGGGTAGGTTACTCTCAAAATCTCGCTCTTTGAAAGAAATGTTTTCTTCTTTAGGTTTAGGTGGGGCTGGTGGAATGTCAAGTGCAGGTAGATAAATGTAGCGTTCGAAGCTTTATTCAACTCACATGCCTCATCATTTTGGGGCTCGGTACTATTGGCGGCATCGGTGGAGCTAGCAAGCCGAGTGGCGACAGCGGCCCTATTGGTGCTCGTGAGCTGTCAGGTCTAAGAAAAAACGAAGTTAAATTTGTCGTTCGTGCTCCTATCTTTAGCACTCGGAAGCGGTAGTGGGCCCAATGGTGGTGGCACAGATGCGTGTCTTTGAGATACAATACAATCACAGCAATGACTAACTAATGTCAACTTCTTCTTTATTGTGTAGGTCTCGGCGGTGGTTCTAAACCAAGTGGCGGGATTGGTGCTGGTCCCATTATCGGAGCTCCGTCCATCGGAACAGGTATGTGTCTTTGAGATACAACTGCAGCAATGACTAACTAATGTCAACTTCTTCTTTATTGTGTAGGTGTCGGCGGTGATTCTAAACCAAGTGGCGGCTTTGGTGCTGGTCCCATTTTCAGAACTCCGTCGATCGGAACTGGTGCGTGTATTATGTTGCATTGTAGTTTGTGTGGTTGAGTGGGATGTCGGTAAGGCGGTGGTGTCGTCAAATTGCCGTGTGTTAACTCTTGGTGGCGATATGACTTGAAGTGATGTGGTTTTCCTGTTTCGCTGCTGTACCTTTGTGGCGTGCGGTTTATTAGAAGAAACTGAGTATTATTGCTGTAAAGGTGGATTTCGTCGTTTTATTACATTTCACAGTTGTATAAGAAAAAATGACCCATTAGGCCTGTTCTTTTTGGGTTTGTTCACATAGACCAAGTATTCTAGAACGTGCCTCTGATTAATATTTTTAAGTATCGGTTTGTTGAGCGGTGATGGTAATGCTTGTACTGAGCATTTCGCTTTCCGATTGCCGGCCATTGATGAAGCACTTGCTAAGTCCTGTCCGTTCAATGATATCTGATACAAATTTGTGTATTTATGATCAATTGGTGGAGGACGGGTGGATAGGACAGATAAGTGTCGTGGTCAGAAAGGATTTAATTTTTTTGCGTTTATACCATGTTTTTCTAGTGTCAAGCCACCTCAGGCTTCCAAGCACTATAGAAGTTTAAATTGGCTAGTAAAGAATGCGAACGTCTGTACCCTTTTCCTTAGGATTAGGAAGTAAATTAAGTGAAACTGGAAGTAGGAGTTTAGTTGGTAAGGGAAACAAAAATTTTCATGGTTTTCCGACTTCTGATAAAAGCCAGTTCTCTGCTGTTGAGACGTAGAGTAACGGTAGTTCCCATTTCGTTCTTTACGTTTTAGGTTTTCCTCTATTTACTGGCGCCGGAGCAGGTAGTGTTGGTCGTAAAAGTCATTTTTCGTTTGCTGCACCACCATCCAGCATTAGCCAAACATCTGGAACATTCGGTATTTCAGAAAAATGTGTTACACCGTCACCGTGATTGTCATTCTTTTTTTTTCTAGGGGCAGATAGCAATGGCTTATTACAACAAAGGAATGTTGGAGCATTGGGAGCCACAGGTTCGACGGTACATTCCCATACACATGTTATTTTACTTCTGTTCTGATTTTCAGGACTAAACCATGATTTAATAACTCAGGATGGCGCAAGTGAAGCTCGCAAAACTCATTTCACTTGGGGAAAACCAGCGCCAAGTAAATTTTCATAGAATGGCTACTTCTGAGAGTTTTGCAAAGCCAGTCGACCCTGCATTTCAGAGGTTAAAAACAGCCACAACTTCTGTTTTATTTTTCATCTGTAGGCACGGGTTTCATAGCGCGCTTAAAAGATGCGGCTGTAAAGGTTGGAATTATGAAACCTGATCCACCGCTGAAGAAATTCGCCTATACACATGCAAAACCCGAGTTGACTCATATTTACAATCAACCAATTACAAGTCTACAAGAATTTCGGCGCCCATTAGATGGCACAGGTGGACAAGCATTTCATGACGTGGGAAATCGAATACAGAAAGAATTAGACAGCTGGGGTGGTGAGCACGGCAACTGGATTCGAAGAAATCTACCATCTAATGTAAGTTAAATTGGTAGAAAATCTTAAAAATGCCTCCGTTACATTGATGACAACAGCGATCATGCAGACGGATTGCCAGCGAGTTTTGAAAGAATGCGAGAACTGATCGCAAACACCAGTACGGGGTTCAGAAATAGTGATAGGCATGCAATCGATATATAGCTCAAAACACTTTGATTAAGCGCCTTCATCTACAATAACCGTTGAAGGAGCGCGGTCTTGTTTTCACTTAAAAATTGCCACTGATGCTACAAAAAACTGATTCCGCTGGTGATTTGTAAATTTCGAATTTCTTTTTAGCTTAAAATGCTGATACATTTTGAGCCCATAGGTCTTAATAGGGATCAAAAAAACGGACAAAACGCAGTGGAACTCGTTTTTTCAACATATTTTCGAGGCATTTTACCCCCTTGCGGAAGTGTGCATACAGGCGAATATTTGGTCGAAAATCGAGAGTGCATCTTTTCTAGGTTGGACAGAGGAAAACATGCTGTTAATGACTTCTTCGTTTGGTTTAAAAGCCCTCTGTATATAATACTTGCTATGTTTCTCTTGAGGTGTACAATTTTCAGCAGCTTTAACCTTAATCAATACATACTCTGTGCACAGGACTTATATGATGCATACACTTTTGGTTTAAGCCTGTAATCTTGAATCAGAACGAAATCGAGAATATAAATTCCCATTATATCATTTTGAAACTTAAACTATCAAAACACAAAATCAATGCTTGCACGAAGCTAGGATCGAACACACGAACTTGATCTTTGCAGACGAACTGCAAAAATCAACCTCGCTGTTCTTTTCTATATTCCCATACACTTTTGCTTCG